AGACAGTCCTTAGAAGGGTGTCTGTAACAAGACCAACAACACAACTGGAGATGTACGTCCTCGATGTTGACAAAAGCAGACTGGCTTATAACTGAAGCATCCGACAGTCTGAGTTTTAAAAATGTCCCGCACACCCACAGGTACACTCTGCCAGGGTGCAGCCTGGTCCCTGTGAAGGTGGTGATGCGGCTGGGGTCGGAGGAGGCTGCTGATCTTGCTTTGAGCAGATGATGACTGCTTGGAGGCCAGGACAAAGGGGTGTGTGCTGGTGACAGGTCACAAAGGACAGCAGAGCATAACTGTGGAGGTCTGAGGAGATGTGGGCAGAAACCTTGCTGGGAGATGGGCAATTGCCTTCACTCCCTCCCTCTCTTGGGGACACGATTTGTGGCTGACAGCGATGCCTGGAATGAAGAGAACCATGAGCAGTGAATGTTTGTTACCTTATTACACTGCCCACAGCTACCGATCCATGGGCGTGTTCAACACCTCCATGGGAAACCTACAGCGACAACTATACAAGGGAGGAGAGTATGATATTTTCAAGTATGCACCAATGTTTGAAAGTGATTTTATCCAGATTAGCAAGAAAGGAGAGGTGATTGATGTCCATAACCGCGTCCGAATGGTGACTGTATGCATCGCGTCCACCAGCCCAGTCCTCCCACTTCCTGACGTCATGCTGCTGGCCCGACCGGCTAAAGTCTGTGAAGAACATGCTAGACGGGCCCGGTTCATCAAGGGGAGAGGTCGCAAGCCTCCAAAGACTTTGGAGCTCACCAGGCTGCTCCCTTTGAAGTTTGTCAAGATCTCCATTCATGACCGTGAGAAACAGCAGCTGCGCCTGAAGCTCGCCACAGGCCGGACTTTTTACCTGCAGCTGTGTCCCTCTTCTGATGCACGAGAAGACCTCTTCTGCTACTGGGAAAAGCTTGTCTATCTCCTGAGGCCACCAACAGACAGCTGCAGCAGTAGCCCGACCCTTCACACTGGTAACACATCTATCCTGGAGGACAACAAAAGCCTACTCGTAAGCTTCTAAAGACTCAAACTGAGTGGGGAGCTTCAGAGCAGGTCCCGCAGAGATGTAGGTGCTTTCTTAGGCCCGCCTGGGAAATGTGCTATATTTGAAAGGGTCCTGGGCCACCACTAGAGACTTAACTGTCACTCTGGGAGGCTGGACTGCTTCTCCGAAATGTCTCATAAGGCTTGATGTCAGAAACCTGAACTATCAATTACTCTGCCTCACATCCAAGACTGTAGGTGAACCTTACAACTTCCTGATGTTTCAGTCTTAAACTCTTTATACACCAACTCAGCCTCATTTGTTATGGAATATTATATAATATATAAAATGAAGGGAATGTATTATATATATTCTCTTATTTTGGATGCAAGACCTCGAGATGTATCCCAGCCTGACCTGGAACTCAACCCACTATGTAGCTTAGACTGGCCTTGAATTGGCTATTCTCCTGCCTCAGCCTCTCAAGTGTTGAGATTGCTGGCAGATGCCATCATGCTTGATCAAATTACATTTTTAATTTTGATTGATATATATTAATTATACATATTAATATGGTATACTGTGGCATATTGATACTTGTATTTAATATGTGGTGATATAAAACTTGGGTGGTTGGCATGTCTATCACCCCAGATATTGCTCATTTCCTTGTGCTGGGAATATGGAAAAAAATCTTCTCTGCTTGTTATTGAGATAATAAGATTAACGGTTGTCAATTATAGTTATCCTTCAGGAGCGTAAGACATGGGAAGTGACTCCTCTTATCCAACTGTATCTATTAGCCGTATTCTCTGCATTCTTGCTCCCCATCAGCCCTTCCAGGTGCCGGTGACCACTAATCTATTTCTGAGATCAGCTTTTTAGTGTAGAACACTTTTAACTACCTTCCCTTGAGCCATGATCTGTCACCCTGTGTCTATTAAGTGATTTCTTTTTAAATATGCACAATCCCCATGTGTGTGCTTGCACAACTGGTTCCAAGGCCATCAACATGTCTAGCGTATCCCTGACCCAACAATTTCATTTGTAGAAATGTGCCCTGCAAAGACAAACACAAATGTGGAAAATACATTTTATGAAAGTGTTTCCTTTTGCCCTAGAATTGCTGAGGTGAAACTGAGTGCCCATTGACTAAAGTGCAATGGAAGGGATCTTGTAATAAATGGGAATTCAGACATGATGATTTCAATAAGAAGCCCTTGGGTTACTGAGCTTCAGGGTGAGAGAGGACCTGAGCATTCCGGCCTCTCTGCCACCTCTATTTCACTGTTTATCCTCCCCTCGGCACAGGGCTCAGACATCCACGGAGAAGGGGATCAGGATTCTGTGCGTCAAAAGCTCCGAGATGTGTCAGGAGCCACCTCTGCTGCATTTGCAGGAGGAGAGGGAACACAACCAGCTACGACAGCTGCTGCAGCCGCTGGTGTACGAGGACCTGCCAAAGGGGCAGCAGCAGGGGCAGTAGGTGGCACAGTGGCTGCAGGAGTAATAACAGGCCCCTCAGCAGGGGTGGCAAAAGCAGGGACAGCTGCAAGCTCGACCTCGGGTGCTTTAAGCATAGCAACAACCAGGTCTCCGGGCTCAAGCCAGGTAGCCACAGCTCTGGCAGGCACAGGCAGCAAAGATTCAGGAGGAAGTGGATCCAGCAAGGCCTTAGCGGCTGTGGCAAACATATCCTCAGAAGGTACAGACCTGGTCTTGGCTGGGGCTGCCAGCTCCTCCTCAGAGTCCACTTCCGCAGGGGGTGCTACCAGTGTCACCCCAGAGGGCAGCCTGAGTGTGGTGTTTGCAGGCACCATGACGACCAAGGGGCCTGCTGCGGACAGACCCGAAGCTCCGCTGCTGTCGACCTTGCAGAGTGAAGGCTACATGTGCGAAAGGGATGGAAGCCAGAAGGTGCCCCACATTGGCTCTGAACCCCGGAAGGAGAAACGGGAGAGACGAGAAAACAAGGACAGAAATCCCAGCAGGAAAAGTTCCCATCACCGCAAGACAAGTCACCGGAGCACAGGCAAGGACCGAAGCACAGGCAAGGACCGAGGCACAGGCAAGGACCGAAGCACAGGCAAGGACCGAAGCACAGGCAAGGACCGAGGCACAGGCAAGGACAAGACCAAGACCACCCGGAAATCATCTTCCCACCGGTCCATCTCCAGCCCCGGGAAAAAAAGAGAAAGCAAAAAAGGAAAAGCACACAGCAACTTAAAGGGCAAGAGACATGGCTCCACTCACAAGAGTGAGTCCAGGACTGCTCACAAACCCAGGAAGAGCCAATCTACAACTAGCTCGGGGTCTGGGAGTAAGAAATCCAGTAAGATTAGCTCTTTTTTGAAGAGCTTCCTAATAAGGCCTACTTCAAAAACAGCAGTCTCCTCACGTAATAGAGGAGGGGTAGACATCGTGTCAAAGAAGGTGGAGAAGCACAACGTAGAGGCGAAGATGGAGAAAGGCAAGGAGGTAGAGTATAGCAGTACTGTAACCGCCGAGACAATGGAGAGGATCATCTTTGAAGCCAAGTGCGTTTAATGAGATCCCAGAGCAGGAAGCTGCGACAGAGATCAGGACTCAGGAGAGCAGCACCAGGGAACCAATACCAGCTTCCCTAATGGCAGTTTCAATAATAAAGGTCACATAATTCCAAAAGAATTCTGCCTTCTGTTTGCACTTCCCTGTCGCACACCCTGGCGGAGACTTCCCAGTGGCTTCTGTGACTGGCATTCATTGCTCCTCCGGTGAGGGGTGAGGTAGAGCCTCCCACCTCAGGTCCAGATGAGCCAAGGCTGAAGCAAGAGCATTAGGCCCTTTCTGTCTTTGGCCTCATGGGCCTCTGGGGGAACTATGTACCCATTCTCCCCTCCTTCCCAAAAGGCCCTTTGTGAGTGGGAACATTTGGTCTAGTCCATATTTGAGGGAAGACAGGGCAAGATGATGCAGTGGCTTTACCAGGCAATTGGCATAGGGAAGTCTATGATCTAAATCAAAGCTTCTTAAACTGTGGGTGCAAATCCTAAATGCAGGGCAGCAAACAAACAAACAAAATCACTGGCAACAGTTAAATTTTCTGAATTTGCAAAAACAAAAATTCAAAATCAGAATTTATGAACCAGAGATAACTTTGGCAGAGCAGCCTTGGTTCTGAACACACAACTCACACATTCCACAATGTGCACACTGTCACAGCACGCCACACCAGTCAAAGGCATCTGAAACACCTCTCAGATTAAAGGTTACTGTAAGTTAGGAACTGAAGAGTTTTTATGACAGTTTTCTGCTCTTATAACAACAGTTTAATTACAGAAAACAAAGCCCTTTAATCATTTCCTACCCTCAGTCAGCGGTGTATAAGGACCGGACTATGTGAGCATGCAGGATTTTGAAAAGTGTTATTTGAGTTGCTGATAAGAGTTTTATTAAAAAAAATTGTTAAATGTATTTCAGGACCAATTTCCCATGATTTCTGAAATAGCCCTGAACTTATTTCTGTCATTTTGTAGTATACATTTATGTGAAGTGTCAATGTGAGCAATGATCACATAAAATCAAAGTACTGGTCGAGTCTGAAAAATGTTGAAAATGTTCCATATCCTGCAGTATCAAATATTCAGTCAAGATTTGACTTTTTAGAGATTCATTTTCATTATGTTAAATCATGTGTGTCTACGTGTAGGTATGTGCATATGTGTGCAGGTCCACTTGGCGGCTAGAGGCACTGAATCCTCCCAGATGGAGTTTCGTGCAGTTGTGAGCTACCCAACATGAGTGCTGGGGTCCAAACACAGGTCCTTTGCAAAAGCAGGGCAAGTTTAAGCAACTGTGCTACCTCTCCAGGCCCAATATTTAATTTCTGTGTAAAAATAAGTTTTACATGCATCTCATTGGTATGCAAATTTGCTTTACTCTAATAAACAGTAAAATTAAATGTATTCCAAACGACTTTTAAAAATGTTTTAATTTTTCCTTTCTCCTGAGAGTTTTCTATGTATGCAATAATGAAATATGACATCTAGGCCCTAATATCTTCAACGTCCCCCATATCTTCCCCAACAGGTCACTTTCTCAACTTTACCTTTTATTTTTTTTAAATATACAATCTGGGAAGTTTAATTAGTACTGCCCATATCTGTGTGGGTGTGGGGCCATCCTCCCCTAGAGCATAGGAAACCTACCAGTGGCCAATTCCTCCAACCATAATAATCTTCCCTCTCCAAGCACCTATCGGCTGCCCATAGCCCCTCAACAAGGAATGGGGCCTGGAGACCACCCACCTATGCCTTAGGCTGGGTGGCTTGATCTTATGCAGGTAACCGCAGCTGTTGTGAGTTTCCAAATGTAATAGCCATGGCCAGAAGACAGCATTTCACAGCGCTCTTCCTTATCCTCCAGATCCGACATTTTTTCCTCTTCTTCATACACAGTGCTCCCTGAGCACTAGTGGTGGCTTGGATACAGATGTCCTACCTGGGGCTAAGCACTCAGTCTGCTGTTCTGAGCATTTCAGCTAGCTGGGCAGCTCTGCAGTGACTGCTGCCCGCTGCACAAAGAAGTTCTCTGACGGAGGTTGAGAGCAGCCCAGGTCTACGGGTATGAACATAAATATAGAGAAGACTACTTAGCAGCGTGAACACTTAGCTCTGGTTCTACCCTAGGACTGAGGACCTGTAGTGGTATTTGCTCTGCCCATGACCTTGAGCTATAGGGACCGAAGGAGGCAGTGCTTCCTGCTGTTGCATGTGACCTCTTAAAATGATCAAGAGAAGGGGCATGTGACCCTTCTTCCTCTCCCTTTTAAGACCCCACATTCCCTGTGGCTCCTACCCTGAGCAGCAGATTTGCTCAGAGGCACGTGTGCTCACTAGTACCCGAGCCGCCTGGTTCCAACCACGTGGATCTGAGCCCCACCCACCTGCCCCCACTGGGGCTACTCTTGTGACTAAACCCTAACACACACACACACACACACACACACACACACACACACACACACACACACACGGGCAGCTGTTGGTGAGTTTCTCCACCCTGCAGAGCCCACGAGAACCCCCCAGGAACTGCCTGACTCCTGCTCAGGTGACCACCTGCACACAGCAGCTGTGTGGGGAGTCTGTAGGCCAGGCAGCTCACATGGTGTGTGAGCTTGGAACTTCAACCATGTCCAGAAGCACACATGTTCTGCAGCAGCTAGAGCACTGGGTCAGAGAGAAAGGTGTCATGCTAGGCACCTTTCTAGTTCTGTGTTTTAGTGGCCCTGTAGCCCAAGGTCATGGGCAAAGCAAATACCCCTACATTTTCCTTTTTTTTTTTTTTGTCTAAATAAGAAGGTTCTAAATTTAATGCAAACTATGTACAGTGATTATTAAGTATTATTAAGTATTAGTATCAAGTATCAAACAAAGGGTAATAACATAAACAAAAATGGAACTACAACCAACAAGAATAACATCAAACAAGAAAGACACGCTAAATGTCCAGAAATAGGCAGGACATAGGTAAATGGCAAATTCCTGAGATTACTCCAAAAGCTGTTCTATCTTGAAGATTCTAACTCTAATACTAATATGTTCTAGCTAAGATACAAGAAGATTGTAACTGTAACTATCTAGTCTTCAACTCCATCAAAGATCTGAGAAGGAAAATAATAATACCTGAGAAAACGGAAAATGCAAGCAAGCAATTTCCAAAATTCTTGAGAGAATAGTTACTTGTCTATTGTTGTCATAAAACACCACGACCAAGGAAAGTTGTAGAAGGAAGGGAGCATGTGGGACTTACAGTTTCAGAGGGACAGGAGTCCATCACTGTCATGGTGGGGAGCACAGCAACAGATGGGCAGCACAACCCTGGAACAGCAGCTGAGTCAGTCACATTCTGATCCACGAACAAGAACGAGAAAGCACACTGCGGATGGTGTGAGTCTTTAGAAACCTGAAGCCCACCTCCGGGGACACACTTTCAACAAGGTCACACCTCCTAACTCTTCCCAACAGTTCTACCAATTGTGGAATTAGTATTCAAGCATAAGAGCCTATGGGGGCCGTTCTCACTCAAATTATCACAGCTCTCCTGTGGATCAGGCCTCAAATCCAATCAAAAAGCAATTAATAGGTCACTCTGTAACCTAGGTGGAACTACTGCAGCAGTGTGCACATCCTGCCTGGAAAGTGAGTTACTGTAGCATGCAGTGTCCAGTGCTGGGTAAGACCACGAATGTCTTTTCTTTCCCAGCAAGGCTGCTGGATAGCACTGTCTGCTAGAAAAGATAGCCAGCACTGAGGAAGTTTGAGAATGATTTCTCTATGTCCTGTAACCAAAGTGGGGCATCTTCAGCAGTAGGGGGTCTTACCGTGTAGTTATGAAAGACAACTGAGGGCCATGGCGATAGTCTGTTACTTAGGAGACCTCTGGGACTTCCCTGACCAATGACGTGAAGGGACAGAGTTTTATGCCTGGTGCTATGATTTACATTAAAAAACCTCTGTCTTCTAGGAGCAACATTGTCCACTGATGCAGGGCAATTCCACTCATACCTTTTAAAGTTACATTTGGAAAAGATCTTACTAACTCATAGGTTTCCAGAAGGTGTTTCATACATCCTTAGTTTTGTTTTGTTTCACATGCTGTATTAGTTACTTTTCTGTTGCTGTGATGAAATGCCATGACTAAAACCAACTTACAGAAGAGAGTTTATTTTGGCTTATCTTTCCAGAAGGATAGTCCATCAAGGCAAAGAAGGCATAGAAGCAGGTGGCAGAGGAAGGTGGTAGAGGAAGGTAGTAGAGGAAGGTGGTGGTAGAGGAAGGTGGTAGAGGAAGGTGGTGGAGGAAGGTGGTGGAGGGAGGTGGTGGTAGAAGCAGGTGGTAGGACCAGAAGCAGGAGCTGTTCACATCCTTCATCTGCACACAGGAAGCAAAGAAAGGGAGAGCAGAAAGGGAGGCAAGGCTGTGACATCTTAAGTCCCCACTCCTGGTGACGTACTTTCTCTAGCAGGGCTCTACCTCTTATCTTACAAGTTCCACGACCTTCCCAAACAGTACTACCAACGAGAGACCCAATGTGCAAATGCATGAGCCTTTGAGGGAAATTTCTCCATCAACACACCATACCTACCCACAACTAAAATAAATTTGCTTAAAAATTTATATTGGTGTACCCATTTAAAACCTATATACCTGAAGTCTCACAAGAATTTTTTGGGCAAAATGCAGGAAAAGTTAAGGTTTCATCTAGAGTAGGACTGGCAGGCCATGTTCAGATGACAAAACCTTGCAGACTGAATGAAAAAAGAAATAAAAAGGAAGGACGTGATGGCTCCTAGGTGTGGTGGAGGAGGGTGTTTATTGTAGATACGAGAGAGCACAGCAAGAGGCAGAGTCATCTGGGGGAGTCCAGAGTGAACACGACCCTGAGCCATGTAAGAAGCAGGAGGAGAAAGGGCAGAGCCAGGAGACCAAGAGGCCAAGAGGGTGAAGGGTAGAAAAAGACCAGGTGACCAAAGTGACTGCATTATATAGGGGAAGGGCAGCCCAGATGCTGGCCTGGAGAAGTTTAAGGTAAGGGGTACAGTATGCCAGCCCTACCCTATAACAGGTAGGGACTGAGGGATGCTGGGAGAAAGTTGGCAGCCAGGTCCACTTTGATATGCTAAATAGGCACCTCAGCCATTTGGCCTGGGGTTTGAGACCTAACACAGAGCACTGGATTTTTTTATTAAAAAGAACCAAGTTTGCACATGCGCGCGCTGAAGTTTGATGTCTTCCTCAATCTTCCTCCCCCTTATTTTCTGAGACAGTGTGTCACACTGAAACTGAAGTTCATCTGTTCAGCTAGACTAGCTGGCCAATGAACTTCAGGGATCCCCCTGTCTCAGTGCCTAGATTTTAATGTGTTTGCTAGGGATCCAAACTCAGCTCCTCATGCTCGTGCAGCAAGCACTTTAGTGACTGAGTCATCTCCCTGGCCTTGAATAATGTTTGGAACACACGAATTGCCAGTGTTCTCTATGGCAATTTTTCATGTTAACATGCAAGATCCGAGTTGCTGCATAGAGACTCTACAGCCCGCAGGGTTTGAATATTTACCATCTTGCCCTTTAGAGAAAAAAGCCTGTTGTCCCCTGTTCTAGGAGATGTTAACAGTTCTCCTTCCTCTGATGTATACACACTCAGGAGAAACTCTAAGAAACACTTAGCAGGAGCCAGCCAGAAAAATGCAAAAAAAACATTCTGTACTAACAAGACCCTGGACACAGCCCAAACATTCATCAACAGGAAGATTCATAAACTGTGCTATATGGCTGCAGGGCCCTATTTTTTGACAGTGAAAACAAATGGCAGCTACTCATGCTAGCATGAATGATTTTATATAACGTGGACTAATACAATGCAGACAGAACACTTACAGGGGATTCCATCTGTAGAACAGTTAAAAACAGGAGCAGAGGCTGGAGAGATGGCCCAGCTGTGAAGAGCATTGGCTGCTCTTTCAAAAGATTCGGGTTCAATTCCCAGCACCCACATGGCAGCTCACAACCATTTGTAACTCTAGTTCCAGGTGATCTGATGCTCTCTTCTGACCTTTGCAGGCACCAGTCATATATGTGATACACAGACATACATGCAGGCAAAACACACATATATGTAAAATAAAATACATTTTAAAATTAAAAAACGAAAACAAGAGCAAAAAATGCCTGGAGGAGCTGATGTGCTGAAAGCATATAGAAAAACAAAGAAAAGATAAACACAAAATTCAGGATACAGACAGAGTTAAAAGGAGGGATGTGTGATGGGAGAGGCACATGCAGAAGTTTTCAGCAACAGAATATCCTAGCTCTTAAGCAAGAGGATGTGCCCATGTAAACTTATCCCCTTTGTATATGTAGAAGACAGCTTTATGACAAAACACACTATTTGGAAATCTGTCTTTCATAAATATAAAACAAAAAATTTCAATGACATTAAAAAGGGATGGTCATAATATGGAGAAAACTATTTCAATATATTTATAAGGGACGAGATGGGCCTGAGAGTATAGCTCAGAGGTTTGGCATTTGTCTAGCATGAATGAAGTCCTGGGATCAATCCTTTGCATTAAGAAAAAGAGGAAAGAAAAGAAAAAGGAACCAGGATACTCCACAATAATGTATACTAATTAACTATTTGAATTATGTATACAACACAAATAATTCCCAAAGTTTAATGCTGTGTTATATATGAAATTATAAAATTCAAACGTTATAAAATTTAAACATGCACTACAGGACTGCTTTGTTATTTAATTTTTAAACAAATGATATAGTCACAATTCCACATGAAATCAGATACTTAACAAAAGATGATAAAAGTTGAACTTAAGAAAAAATTTTGGAACCCATGTGTGCTCATATTGTCTGCATGGTGAAGTTGGGTTTCCAGGGAAACCTGGGGATCTTCTCTGAAGAGTAAATGTGTTGAGGCTGGAGAAATGACTTTAGGAGTACTTGTTCTTGAAGTGAACCTGGGCTTGATTCTAAGCACTCACATAGCAGCTCACGACTATCTGTAACTCAAGATCTAGTGGCTCTAACACCCTCTTCTGACTCTGAAGGCATTACACGGTGCACAGATATACATTTGTACAAAAGCAGTGCTTCTCAATCTCTGAGTCATGAACCCTTGGGATTGAAATGACCCTTTCGTAGGGGTCACCTTAGACCATCAGAAAACACAGATATTTATATCACGATTCATAACAGTAGCAAAATTACAGTTATGAAGTAGCAACAAAATAATGTTATGGTTGGGGGAGTCACCACAGCATGAAGAACTGTATTAAAAGGTTGCAGCATGAGGAAGGTTGAGAACTACTGACTCATACACACATACAATAAAATAAATCTAAATTTTGAAAGAGAGAAAAAGTGTCTATGGAGGTAGAGAAAGAGAAACAAGGCATTCTGAGGGGAGTGGTAGTTTTACAGTAAATACAGGGAGCCTTTAGTAGCTGCACTGGGGGGTACTTGCAAAAATTTCCTCCTCGTGATTTTCAACATTCAAAGGCCAACAGATTCTGGAACCCCAGATGGCCTTGGAGTTGGTCCTTCAACAATGGGTACAGATGGAAAGAGAGAGGCATACTTTAAAGGTCTGAGCAGGCCTTTGGAGAAGCCACTGGGGAATAAGAGAGGTTGGTATACAGGGAAAGGGAGAAGATAAAGTGAGAGTCTGTTCCAAGTCTTCAGTTCACGGCCCGGTTCTACAGAGGCTAACCTCTCTTAGCAACAAAAGTTTGGTCTCTGACTTCGTCTTTTCTCCTTGTCCTCCTCTGGCTTTGGGCACTCCTGCCTTTGGGTGGGGCTGCTTTAACATGACTGTATTTTATCCAGTATGCAGGGATGCCAAGCAGGCCCACAAGTAACACACATGCCACCAAAGTGAAATGGAGGGAGGGACTTGCCCACCCCAGCGTGTTCTGCCATTTACCTATCCTCTATGCACCTCCCCTTCTATCTTGGTATGCCATCACAAGAAACATGCACACATGTCTACGTATTTCAAAGCAACAGGTCTCTTCCTCTGGAGAGAGATATCAATGGGGCCATCAGTTAAATCCCCATCAGATAAAGCCTGATATTCTCAGCGGCAGTATGTATCACCATGGCAGCAATTCTGCTGTAAGCACAGTGAGGCAACAGGCAGCTCATTACCAAGCAGTGTTCCAAACTTACAGTGCATACTCACACCAGTGCCGGGACAACATTCTCTTGCCAAGAGCAATCACATCACTTACTTGTTCTGTTGGAGAGGTGTCTCCTTATTTACTTTTTCTATGGTTTCTTTGTGACAGTTCTCACTGTGTAGACCAAGCTGGTCAGGAACTTGTTATGTAGTTCAGGGTGGCTGGGAAGTCATGAATGTCTTACCTCAGCCTCTTAAGTGCTGAGATTTTAAGCACATACTACTATATCCAACTATGGAATGGAATGCTTAAAGCAGAGGAAACATGCTAAAAACACTGCACAGGCAAGGTACAGAAGGTGAGCCATGGCAGCTATCAGGGTAAGAATACTGAGAGAGATGCTGAGGGGAGAAAGAAGCAGGCGACAGGTAATGTAAAACTTCAAGATCCATGCAAGGGAAGCCACTGACCTATCCATTATAAACTGGGGAGACTTGATTGGATTTGCACTTTATAAAGGCCAACAACAGTGGTTGTAAGGGGAAACAATCGGGAAGGGAGTCATCCTTGGCCTGTGTCACATTCTGCCTCTCACAGTAGGGCATATAAAATGAGGAGGTACAAGTGATGTTCTGAAAGACAATTAGAAGTGTCCATGTGGGGTGGACACAAGGATGCACACAGCACCCAGACAGTCCTTCGGTGAAGGTCCTGTGCTAGTGGCAGGTAAGTACTGCTCAGTGACAGCCATCAGCCTCCACTAAGTCTGGGAACTGCTTCAGCTGTCGTGAACTCCTTCACCCAAAGTCCAAGTCTTCCTAGAGCTTGCATCAAGAACTGAAGATACAGAGCATGAAGCTTTGGGCATTGAGAATGCACAGAGACTAACACAGAAGCTCTCCTCTTACCAGAGATTCCTGCAAAGATGCACTGACGCCGACTTCCCCTTCAGAGATACTGGTCCTATGGCACTTCCTGTAATTCCATCTCAAATCTGCTTCCTGGAGAATGCATATGATGATATTTTCTTTGTGCACCCCAATAAAGCTTATCTGAAGATCAGAGAAAAAGGTCAGCCACTATATTAAACATAGAAGTCAGGCAATGGTAGCACAAGCCTTTAATCCCAGCATTTGGGAGGCAGAGATCTACCCGGATCTCTGTGAGTTCAAGGCCACCCTGGGGAACAGGTCCAAGCATGGTGAAACACACCTTTAATCCCAGCACTAACCATAGAGGTCTGGAGGTCTGTACAGATAGATAGGAATTGATGTAGTTGGTTGGAGAGAGGAAGTGAAATGCAGAACAAAAAGGCATATAGGTGTGGGTATACAGGAAGTAGCTCTCTTTGGAAGCTGAGGAGTTGGTGAGGTGAGGCTGACTGTGGCTTGTCCTATTCCTCTGATCTCTCAGTTTTTCGCCCCAATATCTGGCTCCAGGTTCTTTTATTAATAAGACTGTTTAGCAATTCATCTTAAAAATGCAAACTTTGATATTGTATTAGTGCAACATGTTGGAATCATTTCCTTTCAACTCTACTAACCTTGTGAAATCCAATAAATAGCTAGAAAACATATAGTATCAATTGCATGGTTTTGGTTTTAAACATCTTAAAATGAAGTATACTTTATTATTACAAAATAATGTGTACTTTGGAAAATTTAGACCATAAAGACATATAAACAAGAAGGAAACAGATATCCTGTTGATGTCCAGAAAAAAAAATGGACAAGTTAGACTTATACTCCCAAAAAGACAAAGCATATCACTGTAGATATGAAACTTTGCCTTTTATCAAGCAGTGATGAGAAGCCCCAACATCTGAGAATGTGAACAGAGGCCAAGGGGAGATAGAGATTTGTGCAGCTGTAAAAGAAGGTCTTCCCAGTCTCCTGTTGAAATAGTGTCACAGGAAGTCCATTAAAAGGATGTATGAATAAAATCTACAGTATCATAGCACAGTGCAATAATGCCCAGTCTTAACCAAAAATCACACATCTTAACCAAGAAATGGGAAGACCCATAGATAAATGAAGAAAAGATCTATAAAACACCCTGAGGATGGAGATGTCATATTGTTTGACATGTGTTTTAAAGTATCCTTGACAAAGCAATTGGGAAAGTTCTTGAAACAAATGAAAAAACAGAAATCTCCAGCAAAGAAATAAAATATGAAAAGGAAAACCAAGTGGACGCTTTAGAAGTGGAAGTATAACAGCATTGAGGGAAGCTGGGAGAAGGCCAAGCAGCTAAGAGAGTTCACTGCTCTTGCAGAGAACCCAAGTTTACCTACAATTGCATGCGCGCGCACGCACACACACATAATTTTTAAAATAATAAGAAATCTTCATAGCTGAAAAAAAAAAAAGCTGTCACTGGGCTCCATAGTAGACCAAATAAAGGAGAGGGAATAATTAGTGAACTGAAAGAAAAAGTAATAGACATATTGTGATTGAACAATCAGAGAAAACTGGAAACATGAGCAGGACCTCAGGATTCTGTGAAACTAGAACAGAAGACCTAACATTGTGTCACTGAGTTCTGAAATGGGCGCAAAGGGGAAGGCTATAGAAATACTAGAAAAATAACAGCTGAAAGTTCTGAACTGTAATAAAAGAGGAATCTACATATCCAGTTAGCTAAGTGAATGAAAATGGATTAATATAATATAATATAACATAACATAATATAATAATATAATATAATAATTAATAATATAATATAATATAATAATATATATGCAGACAAATCATAGGCTCTGAAAAACAAATAAAAATAATGAATACCGCTAGAGAAAAATGACAATACACATACAGAGAAATTCACACGTCATGAATTTCTCATCTGTAACAGTGGAAGACACAAACAAGTGACACATTTTTCAAATACTGAAATAAAACAACTGAAAATATCCAACCTTTTTTTGCAAGAAATTTGTCCCTCAGAAATGAACATGAAATCAAGACATCTTCTCCTCCTTCTCTCCCTCCTCCTCTCCCCTCTCTGTTTTGTTCTATTTTGTTTTTCCAGACAGGTTTCTCTGTGTAGCCCTGGCTGTCCTGGAATTCATTTCTGCAGACCAAGCTGGCTTCACGGGATTCACCCACCTCTGCCTCCTGAGTGCTTGGACAAAAGGCATGCGCCACCACTGCCCAGCAAGACATTCTCAACTGAAGCAAAACACACACACACACACACACACACACACACACACACACACACACACACACACACAC